ACTCAGGTGGGCTTTAGCCGCACAATCAGTGAGGGCCGCGGCAGGAAAGTCTCTATCTTCAGGTAAAGAACAAAACACCCATGAGGAAAGTGGCAGACGTCTTCTTGTCCCCCGTTTGAGCTGCTACAACAAAAAACTGGGTTGATTAGCTCTATGCTAGCCAGTCATGTCTCATTCATCTAATAAAATGGCCATGGGGAATAATGCTGGGAAAGTGTGGAAGGGCTCGCTGCATGTGTGACTGTAAGACCCCATCCGTACCCTTTTGTCCATTACCTTTTCTCATGTTCCCCCATGCATATCAACCCATTGTCACAGACACTTAGTGTCTCTACATGCACTTTCAACTCCAGAAATGCTGGTTTTATAGTATCTGGATGTGACACTAAAGCACTTGCACAATTGTGCTTAACATTCCCTCTTAAAGGGACAGTTCAACCACAAATGAAAATTCTAAATAACATTCTAAATATGTATGGCCTTTTCTTGTATTTTTTTTTTCCTGAAAGTCAATGGGACCCAAAATTGTCAAGCGGCAGAAATGACATAGTGTGAAAGTGAATAAAGACTTAAATTTCAATATGTGCTTCATACAAAGAGATCATGTCACGTCAGAAGACTTACTGCCTGTTCACACCAAGAACAGTGACCATAAAGATAACGATAACAATAACTATATTAGCATCCATACCAACCACGATAGTGGTCTTTTTTATTAAAAGCAGGCTGCCATTTTAGCATCTGCCGCTTTAAATGCGTAAGATCTTTTAAGCAGATTAAATAATACTGAAATGCCTTTTTGAAGCTTTAAAGTTTTGGTTCCACAGACTTTCATTGCATGGGAAAAACAGTTTCAACATTCTTCAAAATGTCTTATTCTGTGTTCTTCAGAAGAAATACAGTTAAAGGACATGAGGGTGAGAAAATTATGACAAAGTTAATTTTTTAAGAGAACTGTCACTTTAAATTGTAACATTCGCATGCTGTTCAATTCTAATTTGTTTCCTGCAACTTTATCTGCATTGCAGTCTGGATGCCCAGTATTTCTTTTGACTAACGAGGGAAAGGAAGGATAATTGAGTTCACCCCTATATGAAAGCTCACACTCATATACACATACGTGCTCATCAAGCATCAAAAATGTAAAGCCAGCAGAAAAAGACTGTAACGAGGCAGTGCAGCAAAATGTTCAGGAAGTTACAGTGCTGTAGGTAGACTCTTTTGCTTGGATAATCTTTATTCATTTGCTTTATAAGGCTCCTTTCTTGTCTTGGGCCTGGTCCAAAGCTGCAGTCCTGGCACATTTGCAGAGCACATAATGGTAGTTATATGCCCAGACTCACCAATTATTCTTGAGACCACTTAGGTTGCCTCTTCTCTTTCTGACTAAAATCTCTCAGGTGTGTTTCCGAAGCTTACCTCCTACTGAATCAATGCCTCTAACAGCTGTATAACTGCTATTGTCTGTGCAGATGGACTTAATCAAGAGTTCCCTCTGCCTTATGCTTTTCTGCAAATAGACAGTGTTTCGTATGCACATTGCTTGCTTTCCCTAATGGAAGCCGGTCCATAACCGAACCGCATTTCTTTCTTCTTTTTTTGTTAGTATTCTCCTCCACCACCTGCTTTCTACATCAAGGCTTTGCAGTCTATAAGAGAAAAATAGGATTAAAGTGTTTTGAAATGATAGGACACACAACAGAGTGTCTAAAGGTACACAATATTTAATGGTTCAAGAAAAAATTCAAGACAAGAAAAAACATCACACCAAATGTATATGAGCGTGTCCTTTTTTTCTTTTTCTTTTCATTTCCTTTTTAACTTCTAGGAGTATTTTACAGGGGTATGATATCAAGATATACTTCAATTGTTCAACAGTGTTCATTGCTTGACTGCTGGCACATATGAAAGCTCACCTCCAAAGAAAGAAATAATTGTGAAATACAGCAAATGATGTTTAAATTACAAGCAAATTTAATATATCAGCAGTTTTATATTCTTTTCAGATTCTATACAAGAAACATGGTGTGTACATACATTATCCGGCAACTGTTGTGCCAGTATACATACATGCACACACACAAACGCACGCACGCACACGCACACATATAATAATATACATTATGCATATGTTTTGAATACATTACAACAGAGATTGTCCTCGTTTTTCATGATTTTTGTCTTTTATCAACTATTTTCAGTAAGCATAAACCACTTTTCCTTTTGTTTACACATACAGTATGTTCAAATTTGTTTCCCAGGGTAAGTATATCTATGTACACTCTTTTTTTTTCTTTTTCTTTTTTGTACGGTAATGATGGGAATTTATTTGATTTTGTGTTACGACGTGTTGGGCACTCAAAGTGCGTTGTCATTCTAATCCTTCATAGTAACTATAACACAACCCAAGGAGATGGCCGTATAACAGCACAAGCTACTGATTCGTGTCAGAACAAGGGTTTTTAGTGCTAAAGAGCACAATCAGCCAGCGGAGGTCAACTGGAACCACTTGCAAATTAAGATGCCTGACTACTGGGACGGTCTGCCATAATATTTTCCTGAAAAAACGCTCAAAAAAAAAATCTATCAGAGGAAAGAAACACCTCATTACCAAGGTTGCTTACCATGATACATCAGGGAACAAACTTTTTAGAAAACTACAAAAGTGCTAGAGGGGAGAATAACCATGCATATTGAGACCTTTTATGCATTTATTTATCACAAATGTCCTTATTTTCATTCATTCTCACACGTTTGTCTTTTTCTTGGTAAACCTTTGGCACTAATATAGTTGCTCCACTACTCAAAAATAGCTGTTTCAGATTTCAGCAAATGTTTATCTTCATAAGTTCATACATTTTTAAAGTCAACATGAAATAGCATTTGCAACACGTTTAACTTCCGTAAGTGTGACAATTTTCTAATAGAAACAGGATATTCAATGAGAAAACAACGGCTTATATTTATCAATTGGGATATGATTGGACCAGAAGTCACTCTCAACAATTATGTTTTGTAGTTGAGGACGCAGTGGATTAGTTTTGTTTTTGATGGTAACGCATCTCCGAATACTCATTATCATTTAAAGAGACATGCACCGAAAAAGCTTGCTGTAAACAGAGTTGTTTTTGGCAAGTTAAAAAGGTTGTTGTTTTACGTGACCATTGAGGGATTTTAACCAAAGTATGTCGCAGACATTTCATGAAAACCCTAGAGAATCATTCATACAGTTGAATCATTCACAAAAACCCCACTGACATGCATTACGAAAGTAAACAGGATCTGTTTGACTTCATGTTGACTTTAAGAATGTAAAACCTCTAAATCCATGCAGTTCTGAAAAAAATATGTAAATATATTTCATGTGTGTTGTGAAGCTCTACAGCGGTCTTCTTCAAAAACCATTGTTTTTAATCATTGGAAATTTAAAAGACCTCCACAATCTGATGATAATCTTTCAGTTATTTGTAAGTAGGTGTTTTCTATTGTGTTTTGAATGAACAGAAGCAGTGTTAAGCAATACAGACACTATGGCTGATGTTAGTATTTCAGACCTTGTCTTTCGAGCGCTTCTGATCTATTGATCTGTTGTATTGATTAGGAGAGTTAGGGTTGAGTCACCATCCTTATACTCGATACTCCTACACCGTCCCAGCTAGCAGACATGCAAGAGCTCGAGCGAGAGACCAGGCCACCGGTTCCTTCCCTTAATAGAGTCCCACAGCGCAATTATTCCTCTTAATCAAGAGTGTTCAACAGATCTTAAACTGTTGTTGAGGGAACAGCTGCCGAAGTGATTGTCAGTTCTCTCGCATCAAAGAGCAACACACTCCAACACGTCTCGCTGTGACACATTTATTGTCTCTGGCACGTACACTATTTTATAGTGAAGTAATTTTTTGGATCACTGACCCAAATATTTCCGTGTCATCAGTATATACTAGAACTGGAGAACTGTTGGCGAATTAAATTTGTGCTGATTTCTCAACCCGCACTGCCTCTTTGTGGGATTACTTGATGTCTCTGTTTGAATAAACTGGATGAAAATATGACACGATTGTAAGCAAACTTCTACTTCACTTAGCAGTCATTACATCCATACAATACACATCTACATCTTAAGGCTGTTTCTTTGACATCATTATATATAAATCTCGCAAACGCTTAATTTTTACGCAAGTTTAAAAAGAAGTGCGCACCATACAGGCACACGCATACACACACACACACACACACATTCAAAAGGTAGCCAATTATGCTATTATAGAGCAGCGTTCTGCTTCTATAGCGGTTACGGTGATTACTGATCAAAGTAATTATACTATTGGCAGATTCTTGTAATTGGTTCCACAGCACTTATTATGGTGCATAAATTGTATAAATCAAGAAAAAATGTATATAGTAGTGCGAAAAAACAAAGGATGTCTTTTTAGCCATATCTGTGCCTCTGTTAATGAGAAAATGTTGAAAATAAGTGGGTTTCTTATAATGGCAGAGAAAGGGTGTCAGATGCATGGAAACTACCAACATGCCGAACATCAGAGGAAGGCTCTAAGCTCACCAGGGAGAAAAGAGCTAACGTCAAAGTATAAGAAGAAAAGAAGCACCCTAATACATAAAAGTTTCTACGTGTTAACACCGAGCAAGGCTAATTTTTGCAGAGAGGCTTAGCTGTATCTGTAGTCTTGACAGAGTAAGCAAAACATTCAGGGGCATGGAACTAGGTCTCTTTAGCAGAATAAAACTGACTCAGGCGGAAATTCAGCTGGAAACGAAGCACCTCACCAAAGCTGAAAGAATTACTGCAGTCACCCAGCGCTCAGAAATTACACTTAACCTCATTGACTACGCTTACATGCCTCGTAATATTCCGAATACGGTTCTTAACTCAGAGCCTAATTTTTATTGTTTTGTTTACAAGTGTGTCTGTGATCATGTGCAAAGCACAAAGAAATAACCACCAGCTTTTTTTTTTTTTTTTTTAATAATTATATAGGAATTTCAGTGTGCATGTAAACGTATGCAATGATTTCTTCCACCAGCACAGACTTAAAAGTAATTTGTTAAGTTGCATTCAAGAGGCGCACAAAAGAATGAAATAAAAATCTTGTCCCTTTTGATCAACAATAAAGCTTAATTCATTTGCCACTAATCTGTCACTAAGACACATTTCACACCATTTTTTTTTTTTTCACTTGAGGAGCTACTTTGGTCTATATCTACCATTTGTCTGCTGTACATGTTTCAGTTTTACAGAGGATATCGAAAGCTACCGTCCTTTGCTTTAACTTCCCCTTCTGCTGAGTTTAGAAACATCCTGTGTCATGAAACATTTGACACATGCTAATAACGATCAGAACCCGTCAGCTTTTCCATTTCAATCACTCTCATTATGCAGTGCTCTGAGGCCTACCCTCACTTCTACAGCTGATGCTCGTGCAGGAAGGCAGAAGAGCCTCCGCTCATAGACATCTGCGGGCTGGACGTGGCGGAAAAGCTGGCTAGAGGGATGACCTTGATGGGATCCTCTTTCTTGCTGCAGTGTCTCTCAAGTGTGTTGTAGAATTGGGGCCGGTTGCTCCCTTTGTCCAGATCAACTTTGGGCACTGACCTGCCAAGGGTGTGACGCCCATCTGGCTTGGTCCCCCGCGCCCAGCTTTGTTGAAAACCAAAGGAGGGCAGAGTGGCGGCACCGGACGTATGGAATTGGGTCAGCGGTGGCGGCATCCAGCAACTGTCAGAATGACCCAGGATCAGACATTCCTGGGTACAGGTCTCCGAGGCCTCGGCGAGAGCTTTCTGCAGGTTCACTTCAATAGCTGTGGATGATGAAATGACAAATGCGGAGGCTCAGTCAAGAGGTGAACACGGAAGACAAAATAAATCATACTTTCTCTTACTGTTAAGGCACTTGGAGACAATACAAAGTTGGCGCTATCAAAAGGTGACCTGTAAATGTCAGCTTCTGAGAGAAATGAAAGGCAGTGATAAATGTTTAATTCATCTCATAATGAGAAAAAACAACACCAGTTCGTTTAATTTAAATGGTATTCCCATGGTCCTTAGTGTTTACCTACAATATGCACTGAATTCCCTGTAGCTTAATTAAATCTTTAAAAAAGTCTCTGTTGTTTGTGTCTGAGATTGGTTTTTTACATATCAAAGAATTAATGAACGGCTCCAAAACCATTGTTTATTTTAATCGGAGTCATCGTGGCACACCTTTTCTTCTACTGATGTCTCCCGCTTAAATCAAGTCAATTAAGACAAATCAAATGGAAATGCAGCAATTCTTCCTTTTTCACCTACTTGTTAGCGCAGCTGACACGTATACAGTAAGCATGCTACAGTAGTTGCGAGCAACAGAACGTGATTTGCTCAAAGAAAAGAGAACATAAACTACAGGACTCAAACTTTCTTATCTCATTAAACTTGCTCTGACATCACATGCGAGATGTGCCAAGAAAAAGGCCTCAGTATTGAGCCCCAGCCATAAAGCCTGTCAACTCTAATAATTAGAATGTAAAACAGTGCTTGTGGAGGCAGGCTGGAGCCCTACAGCGGCGTATGTATATCTTAACCCACTAAGAAAAGGAGAGCCCTGTATGAACATCACTTTGCTCATGCTGGTCCCCACTCCAAGCTGTCACGTAGAAATAATTTAGCATATTTGCATAGGCAGAGATGTTAGAAATAATTGAAAGGGACTCTGTCTGGTTCCCCTGCATTACATGGTTGGGTTGTTTTAATTTTTTACCACCAGGAGCCAATATAGTTATTACTTTTTTATGTTCAGTATTTTAATATCATGCAGAGGGAAATCGAAATATTCTGAATAGCAGAAATACAGATTAAATATTTACACATTTACCCAAAGTAACGGACATTGCATTCAATACGTTTGATCAGTTCATGCATTTCCTGGGAATCAAACCCACGGCCTTGCATTGCTAGCTTGCATTGCTATTGATTTAATATTTGAGCAACAGATATCCTTACATAAATACCATATAAGCTGCTAGGTTAATGAACACTTGAGAACACATACAAATGTTACTGATCATCAGAGAACACTACCATAGATATTTATGGTTTTCACAACCATAGGCTGCATAATGTTGACATTTTCCATGAAAATTCATTGGTTTTAGTGTGAGTATTAAGCAGCCTCTGAAATGTTGACCGTTCCAGGATAGTGGACATGGTGGCGTGTCTGGAGCAGTCGAATGAGGGATGTACGTATATAGATATCTATGATTTGAGCTATAGGAACCGCATGAATTGAGCCACAGTAATGCTGTCAAACAAATCTGTAAACAAATCCAAGAAAATGCTGATTCCTAATAAACATGTGTCATTCAGTACTGAAAAACATCAATAAAAATAATTCAGTGTAAATTAAAATGACTATTTTACCCAAAATTTGTGTATGCTATGCATTTTCATATTTAAAGTACCATGTTGTTAGCTTAGCAACATGCTAATGTCAAACTCCATTGAAATAAATTGTGAATAGTCTCCTTCACATGGACAGAGTTGGTAGTGTTTCAAATCACTAACCATGATGGTTAAGAAGCTGCCTTGAAAGTTAGCTGCCTATTTAAGTCCAAAGTATACTCCAATATGGTGTGAACGCCCAATACACAGCCTGTTCAAATATACTCTATTTGATAGCATGTGCAAACACAGGCTCTTGACAGATGAGCACTGGAAAGTTTAATCCTTGTCCAGTGTCTGCGCTATTTCTCTCCAGAAGCAAAAGTATGTCTTTGTACTTGTTTAAACTAGAGTTTACAGTTTGCTTTTTACCACCTCCTACTTTAAAATAATTCCAGAATGTCACTCCAAATTGGACATTTGGGACAAATCAATCAACCCAAACCTCAGTGTTAAACATTATTTGACAATTTCCAAGATGGCGGTGACCAATAGAGAGCTCGTTCATGAGGAACATGAAAATTCTCTTTTATGTATTCTGATGAACGTATTGTATGAATGTGCAACATATAATACATTGTTTGTTCATCAATGAATGCCTACCTATTTTTCTTGTTAAATGCCTACTAGATAGACAGCTATTTAGTGCTAATGTCTGGAATAATGTACTATTACATTTGACATTAGGCTATATAAATACATTTTAAATTTATATATTTTTAATAACATATATATATATTTTGAATAACGAATGACAATTTACTGATTTTAGGACAGTCTGTCCTAAATAATTTGCAGAATATGAAATGTTCTTGAGTCATGGTGCCATCGTGTGGTGTGATTGGAACTCACTGAGGTCGGAAGTGGGATATTTCAACTGAAACATTCCCATCTATGACTTGTTGTGGTCTCCAGTAGTTTGTTGTTCCGTCTATTCAATGTCTTTTTCGATTAAAAAACAACATGACAGGACAGTGTTGCCACCTTGTGGATGAATGAATTAGTGCACAAAAAAAAATCAAGGTGCATGTGCGAGCTGAATGTACAAAGTATGTGGGGTTAAAATAATTGGGCTGCACATGCACTGTGCTGATGACGACTATGCATAGGCTTGCACATACATAACAATCATAGTATATTGAGGGCTTTAGACAGCTTACTAGGTTTTGGAACAGAGCTATAGTATGCTCTTATTTTCCATGACAGTTTGTCTTAATACCAGAGAACTGGACAGAATAGCACAAATACAGAAAGCTATAAACAGAAAGAGAGAAAAGAGCGAGAGAGATGTGGCCACATCCTCCCGGTCTTACTCTGCTATAGTCTGCCTCAGAGCATCAGTGCATAAATCAGTGGAGCGGTAAACGTGTCACCTTTCAGAGGGTCACTAACTTCATTAAGGAAAAATGATGCCGCTCACTCACTCTCTGAGCAAGCAGAATGAGTCCTGGCCAGGTCGCTCTCGGAGGCTGCTGTAAATCACCCCAGAGCTGCTTTGGAAATTGGAGGCGTCTTTCAGAGACATTGTTCTTTTGAGGGGCTGAGCACATCACGCCACAGTGGACAGATTCATGCGTGCAGGCAGACACACGTAGAGGCCCTAATACATTCTCTGAGAAGTGCGTGAGACACCTTTAGTGCATTTGCCCAGCAGGTCCATGTGTGTGTGTGTATATGAAGCCAATCAGCACAAGCAGTGGAGAATATGTGCGCAATTACATTATGTGTAAAAGGTGTTTTGAAACCACGCTACTCTCCAGCGTGCAGAGGCACAGCACGAGCTGTCAGTGGCGCTATGTCAACAGCCAGGAGAGCTACTATTTTTCGCATGTGATATTTCACATTAAACAGCTCCAAAGATGTAGTCCGTATCAGTTTCTCCTCCACAGGGACTAGTACTGCTTGACTGATGTGGGTGACAGCGCTGAATGCTTTCGTCAGCCCGAGGCAGCGGCTCACTCTGATGCTGTTTAAGTGCTTTTTGTATTCAGGGGAATCGCTACTCTACCGTCAAGCTTTTAAAAAAGAATCAGACCCCACGTGCTAAGAGATAGTATTTTTAATTTCACCTTCTGCAGAAAAAAAAAATTTATGTCGTGTGAGGTAATGATATTTACATTATTGCAAAACATACAATAGTAAGAGTAATAGAGCTTCTAATAGCGGCTCGCATTTAAAGCAAATTGTCTGCAGATTGAAACATTTCTCAAAATAGCCAGTGGTTATTGATTGAAGTCCCAGGCTGATTCACACTTGTAATTACAGCGGTGCGAATGCTTGAAGATAGTTTCAATCTTCCCTTGCAAACATTGTCTAACACTGTCGTCAGAGATTGGTAATCGGTTTGCTCCCGTACGAAAAACCGCAAAGTCTTTTGTTCTAAAACCTGAGCTTTATTTTCCAAACTTAAACAAAAGAAAAGTGTTCCAATCCTTAAAGGAATAGTTCACCCACACATGAATCATTATTTACTCACCCTCAAGTTGTTCTAAACCTGTATGAATTTCTTTCTTCAAAAGAAGATATTTCGAAGAATGTTGGTGACCAAACATTTGCTGGTCCCTATTGACTTGCATAGTATTTTTGTATTTTTTCATAAAGGAAATCAATGCGGATAATTTGAAGATATTTTGAAGAATGTTAGCAACCAACTGTATGGTTACCAAAATTATTATTATTTTTTTTTAAATATGTTCTATTTTGTTCAACAGAAACTCATACAGGGGTGTGTTTCCCGAAAGCATCGTTAGCGAGCTATGGTCACAAGTTCTGTCATTACTAAAATAGTTCAACGATTTGTTGTTTCCTGAAACGTCTCGGTTACGTATGGTAACCCTCGTTCCCGGAAGGAGGCATTGCATGCCAATGTGCATTGGCTCGTTTAGTTTACACTCGAAGTAGATTGGTCTATCGAAGCGATATCCCAATTCGTCGGTCACGACGTGACTCGTAGTGACCGACTGAAAGGGAACCAGAATTCAAATGAACATTCACAAACTTGCGTGGTTGGAACTACAACTCTCGACCTGTGGTTAGAATCATATGTGACCCTGGACAACAAAACCAGTCTTAAGGGTCAATTTTGTGAAATTGAGATGTATACATCATGAATAAATAAGCTTTCCATTGATGTATGGTTTGTTAGGATAGGACAATATTTGGCCGAGATACAACTATTTGAAAATCTGGAATCTGAGGGTGCAATTTACAAAATATCTTCATGGAACATGATCTTTACTTGATATCCTAATGATTTTTGGCATAAAAGAAAAATCTATAATTTTGACCCATACAATGTTTTTTGGCTATTGCTACAAATATACCCCAGCAACTTAAGACTGGTTTTGTGGTCCAGGGTCACATATAGTTACTTGTTAGTAAG